CTCTTCACATTTAATTATTATATGAATATGTAACATTCTTTGCTAATATTCCCTGTAGTGATAAATTCACCCTCATGACGGAAGGCGAAAAGAGCGAAAGTAAGACTGCAGTGAAAATTTCCCAGTATGCAGTAGTTAGTCTCTGTGATATTTTAATGCTCTTTTTATACACCCGTCAAATTTGACGGGAGTATTAATTATGGTATGGCGTTGTCCGTCCGTCCGGCGTAAACTTTTGTTTGTCGGGCAATCTCCTCCTACATTTTTTGACCGTTCTCTTTGAAACTTGGTATACATTACAATCATAATATGAAGTTGTGTCTCCCTTAAAAGAATTTTGATTCAACAATTTTTCCAAAAGTTATTGCCCTTTGTTCATTTCAGTAGTTGATTTTTGTCCGGCAATCTCCTCCTACAATTTTTCAACGGATCTCTTTGAAACTTATGAGGCTAAAAATCATGATATGTAGTGATAAATCTACATGCGAGTCCCGAGTCCTGTACTCATAGAATTTTGATGGGACTCACAGAATTTCTGGAAACAGTTAAATTTAACATTGTGGGACTCATTGTTTTTAGCATTACAGTTGAAAAGGACTCATAAGAATAAATTGTAGATGGATCACTGGATATGTTGTTGTGTTTCCTTGAAAAGAATTTTGATTCGACAATTTTTACAAAAGTTATTGCCCTTTGTTTATTTCAGTATTTGATTTTTGTCCGGCAATCTCCTCCTACATTTTTCAATGGATCTCTTTGAAACTTAGTAGGCTTAATAATTATGATATGTTGTTGTGTTTCCTTGAAAAGAATTATGATTCGACGATTTTTGTAAAAGTTATTGCCCTTTGTTCATTTCAGTATTTGATTTTTTTATCCGAGATTTTCTCCTACATTTTTATAGCATGTCAGCTAACCACTCTTTGAATGATGCAGATCTTATTTCAATGTAAGAAAGTATATAACACTATATGGCATTCAATGTGTGTATATTGATCGTCCCGCGGTACTCTTGTTCATGATAATTTACACCTGTAATTAACAGTTCATACCAGGAGACCACATTACTGAAGTTATGTCAGTTATTAGTTACATTATGTTTACATTATAGTTATACGATGTATAGAACACTTCCAATTGGATGATTAAATACATTTGTCACTGATATCTCTTGAAGTGAATTCACGCTACAGCTAGGACATTTTGTTTCCTCTCTAGATAAAACGTAAAAAAAAGACAATGTGATATCACCACACTGGATAATATATAAATGTGAAACAATAAGAACAATTATAAACAGGAAGTGATAAAACCTATATATACCAATTATGATACGGGAGAAATTATTTGTGAGAATAGTAATTCATGAAGTTTGACCTCCCGTTCAGAATTGCTATTGTAATGAGATATGAACAATAATTGATCTCTGAACTATCACATCAGTCACAAAAATGTACATCTATCTATCTATGTATCATTGTATTGTGTGATAACAGAGAGATAACACGTACTACCAGGTATATCTAAATGTTTAGTACGATGTGCCACCGGAAGATACAGAATCGTGTCACGAACAATTAACAGGACAGTCACAATTCTATTTCAGGTCACCTGAGCTTTGCTCAAGTGACCTTTATATGTATATTCTGATCGCTTTCCGTCCGTCGTCGTGCGTAAACTTTTTACATTTTCGACTTCTTCTCAAGAGCCAGTGGATGGAATTTTTCAGACTTGGTCAGAATCATCCTTGGTAGATGAGGCTACAGAATTGTAAAATTGGGATACCTACCCCAACCCTGAGGGGCAAGGACGAGACCCCAAAGGGAATTTAACAAATATTTCAAAAATCTTCTTCTCCGGACTCAGAGGTACTACAGTCAATTTCTCTGTATGAATGGAATTCTCTGTATGAATGGAAAGATTATTAGGGGCTTTAATATTTAAATTGTAAATTTCAGTACCCCATGGCCATCCGTTCTCTTTTGGGGGGGGGGGGGGGTACAGTTTACTTTAGTTTAATTATATAGGGAAATAACACTTTTGGGTATATTTTGATCATTTCAGTAGAAAATTATTCTTACTTGGTGAGAATCATCCTTGGAGGAAGATGGTATCAAATTAAAAAATTGGGATTCCTACCCCAACTCCTAGGGGCCAAGGTGGGGCACTAAAGGGAAAATTAACCAATATTTCAAAAATCTTCTTCAGGCTCAGATGTAGTAGATGTACAATCGAATTCTGTGCATGGATGAAAATTATGTCAGATGCTTTATCTACTTTTCAATTTTATTACCCCCGGGCCATCCATTCTCCTTTGGGGAGGGGGTAACATTGACTTTAGTTTATATAGGGAAATAATACTTTTGGGTATATTTTGTCAACTTTCAGCAGGGAATTATTCAAACTTGTTTGGAATGATTATGATGCCAGATGGCAATTGGATGGTATGAGAAAATAAGATCCTGCCCCATCCCCAGGGACTGGAGGGGTGGGGCCCAAATGGGGATTATGGTTAAAAGTTAAAAAAAAATCTTTCCATCAGACTCAGATGTTTTACTGTTATGAATGGATAGAAAATTAAAGGTCCTTACCTAAATTACCATTACCTAAATTGTAAAATTCATTATACCCAGGTCATCTGCTCTCCTTTGGGGAGACGGTATAATTCTCAATAGCAAAATTATTTATTTGAATAGTTTTTAAAGTTCTATTCCTTTGGTGACATGACAAGTATTGTATTTCACTTTGTTTACATGTTGTTTTCCACATTTTGTACATCTCAACAAGAAATTGAGCTACTGGTACCTATAATATAACTCAGGTGACTGCTAAGTTACACAAGAGGCCCTTGGGGCCTCTTGTTTTTGTTTGTTTTGGGTTAATGTCCTTGCATCAACAAGGGTCATATGAGGACAGCAATCACTAGGTCAGTAATTGCATCATAACATGTATTGACCACTAGAGTTACTTAATTCCCTTGTTACATACACTGTGTTCCTGAGCAGGTGGCCTTCCTGCAGGTCTCAGATGGTTTATTATATGTGAACTGTTACATGTAAAGCCAACTGGGTAACGAGCAACCATACATGGATGATTTAACACTAGCTGTGTCAGTAAAAATTACCAATATGGTTTACCTCTGTGACATACATCTAGCCAAGTCAGTAATAAGTGACTAGATGGTCACCACTGTGACATACCTCTAGCTGAGTCAGGAAAAATTGTCAATATGGTTCACCACTGTGACATACCTCTAGCTGAGTCAGGAACAATTGTCAATATGGTTCACCACTGTGACATACCTCTAGCTGAGTCAGGCAAAATTGTCAATATGGTTCACCACTGTGACATACCTCTAGCTGAGTCAGTAAAGATTGCCAATATGGTTCACCACTGTGACATACCTCTAGCTGAGTCAGTAAAGATTGCCAATATGGTTCACCACTGTGACATACCTCTAGCTGAGTCAGTAAAGATTGTCAATATGGTTCACCACTGTGACATACCTCTAGCTGAGTCAGTAAAGATTGCCAATATGGTTCACCACTGTGACATATATATTACATCTAGCCAGATTCTTAACAAGCAACTACATGTAGATGGTTCACCAATAATTAACTTCTGGGTAAATGGTTCATTTCTGTGACATACATCTAACCAAGTCAGCAACAAGTAACTTGACGATTCACCAATGTGACATGCCTCTAGCCAAGTCATGTAACAAGTGGCTATTAGTGGTGCAATTAGCTTATTTGTCTGTGTTTATGTGATAAAATCCTGTCCTGAAGCAAATCTCAACAAAAAACAGTTAAGCTTAATATGTATGATTGGTTACATCATATAGTTACACAGCTGACATTTATATTTCATTTTCACATTTTTACCAGAGTTTTTGCCCATTTTTGTTCCAAAGTGTTTTAAGCCAAATCCAGACAAAATTTGTAAAACTATATAATCAACAGTTACATTCTGGGAAGTGGTACATAAAAGATATACTTAACATCAGATAGCTGATTTAAAAAAAAATAAAAAATAAAAAAAAAGATTCAATATGACCACCATTGCCTCTGATTGGCTGCAAGGTCATAACTTAAATTCTATTGAGCCAATTTTATTGATACTTTGAAGGAGTGATACATCGGGGATGTATTTATATTAAAAGGCAGAATTTAAATTCCAGTTTTTCATAACAGCTGCTATGGCCTCTGATTGGCTGATCAAGCTGGGTATTAATGTGTCAGTGCTTGTTTATAGGGTAATTAATAAAATGGTCTTTTACTCTTTTACTCTAGATCTGTTATCAGTCTTTAGGGAAATTAAAAGCTGGGTTTTTTTCATGTGTGAAAAATAACCTGTTATTTTTTGGAGTGTACTGGTCAACAGGCAAGAGGTATATAAAAAAGCTGTGAAATAAAAGTAAAAATTAAGTGATCCTTGGGATTGGCTTTGATTATGGTGTCAGTAAAATACCTAGCAAAACATACTCCCAGGAATGAATCGGGACTCTTTGATGCTAGTGTATTAAAGAATAAAACAAAACTTCAAGGGAGATAACTTTTACACACCTGTTATCATCATGTTTTTCTTGCATTGTTATGAATTGAAATTGAAAAAAACTATGGAAGGTCAAAATCTCACTCTGATTTGTTGTTTTCTACTTCTTGTTGTATTGAGTCTACTGATCGGTATGCATCTTTGATCAGTGTTTAGTTCAGCTTTTATTTGTAAATTAATATATGCAATTGAACAATCATGTAAACTTTGAGTTTAAAATTGAATGAACAATGTTAGACATTGGCAGGTGACAGTTGTTTGATGAAGTGCTATATATATTTATACCAGCTTCTTGTGATGAGCTGAAGTGGTGATATGAACAATACTCAAAGAAGGTTTAGAATCATAAAAAACTGCAAACAAATAGCAGAAATATATCTTTAAACATATCTTTACATTGCCATATATGTTACAAGACTTGTTCATCTATATATCTTTGTTGACAGGAAGTGACTGGTTCATGAAGGGACAAGGATGGATGGCGATGAAGGGGGACGCACACTAGCTACCTGGTTGGAAAGTCTTGATCTTGAACAGTACATCCAGAACTTCCGCGATGTTGGTATCTTTAATCTAAAGGATTGTGTGACCTTGGACAGCGACTTCCTCAATGACATTGGCATCAACTTACTGGGACACAGGAAAAGAATCCTGGAACATCTACCCCTCATTGACATAAATAAATATCATGAAGAGCATGACAGAGCCAAGTCTGTACGAACATTGCCACCAAATCAGGATTCTATTTTCACGTACCCCTCACCTAGTAAAGGGGAAGTAACTTCCAATATTGTTCTACCAAAGAGAAGCAGAAGTGAAAAGAAGGCAAATAATAAGTCACATTTGCTTGTAGATATGCAAAAGGACCACCCTCCTATCTCTCCGACCACACCTACAGATCCGCCTCAAAGGTGCTCCCCTCAAAATGTAGCACTCCCTATCCGTGTAAAAAGCCCTCCACCAAATACAGCCATGGCAACAGAAAAACAAGCTCCAAAGACAACCCCTCCAGTTCCTGCCAAGCGGGGAGAAATTCCAGCCCTCTTGCAGGAGACTGAGAAACCAAAGGCAAAACCAGTACCAAAACCCAGAAAAACTTTACAAAAGAAACAGATATTGTCTACATCAACGTCTGTGCTGCCATCACAGTCGGACTACTCAACTCCCAGACAGATACGAAATTCAGTTTCTATCTCGGGTCTGACCATAGACGAATCTTCTGACTTCTCTGGTGACACATTTGATCCTATTAAGTCAGCTTCCTTAGAACCCACATCATATCAGGCAGGGGAAGGAGTTGATTTGTCTCTACCAACTAATCAGCCTGGACGAGGAAATGATTCGTCTCTACCATCAAGTCCTCTGGATTTAGATTTAAGCTTTGTTCCTAGGACATCTTGTGAGTCTGACAGAAGAACTATGAGTGAAGTTTATGTAAACATGGACATTTTTGGCGACAATACCAACGCAAACAATCATCCAATAAGTCATGGGAAGGATAGTAACAGTGATAAAATCATTCCTCACGGAAACAACATGGACAACGAATATGCTAATGTGGATCTGAGTCACAATGAGGCTAGTATATACGAACCTATTTGGTTTGGGAAAAGTGCACCAAAATCCACCAAATCTGCTACTAGTACTTCTACCATTGCCTCTGATACTTCGCCTGTATCCTCTTCAGGCAATGATTCTAAAGCATCTCCACAAATTGACAGTATTGTTCCTGTGCCAGGAACTGATATGTTTGGACACTCCACAGGTTTGAGCACCATAGGGCTGCCATCTACAGCGACCTCTAGCATGTTTGATTCATCGGAGGTAACAGATGAGGGTGTGTACGCTAATGTGGAACCTGCTACTCCTCCAAAGATGGACATAACCCCTCCAAATACTTCCTCTGCATTGTCAGAGTTAGATTTAGACTTCTTCACTAAAAACACACCTACCACTTGCACATCAAGCACCCCTAATGTGATTGGAACATCGGGGCCAGGGATGATGACAAACACTCAGTTAAATCTCAATAGCAGCATCAGTGGTAACAGTACAGGATCGCCAGACGCATCTTTTGAATTGCCACCCCCAGATTTTCCTCCCCCTCCTCTGCCCCCTCCTCCTCCACCAACAGACAGTCTGTCTATGTTTGATCCTCTGGCATGTGAATCTAAGCCCACTTTTCATCCTGAGCCTGCAATGCCTCCTGTTCCACCTCGTGGCGCCACGACATCCCTAAATTCTGGCTACGTCAATGTAGTGGCAGGACAAACAGCACCTTCTAATAACCCTGGGCAACCGGTGCAGTCCCCTTGGCCTTCTGTCCAGGGTGATCTACCAGCAGAACTCTGCTTTACACCAAATAAGGGACAAATTTTTTCCACACAGCTTCAGATGAACGATTCCTCTGAATACTGTTTTGCTACTTACAATAAAACGCCTCAGAAAACCAAACTGCATGAGAATATGAAACTACCTTCTTTGTCTACCCCAGGGCCAGACCCCTTCAAAGACGATGACCCGTTCACTGAGTTTGGTGTGGAATGTGCCGTGTTTAACCAGGGTGGTGATGACCTCAGCAACACTGATAACGATGGTACAGTGGCAACAAGGGCAGACAACTCTATGGGTGTTTATGAATTTGCCCAGGAAGATAATTCTGGTGACTTTGATCCATTTGGTCTAAAAGAAAGTAACCAAGGAGCAACAGGTGGTCCAAAGGAGTGGTCAAGCTCGGCTAGTCCATGTACTCTCAATGATATACCGCCCCCTCCCCGCTGGGACAAAGCTTTAGATGACCCTGGGAGACTGTACTCAATGGCTTTTGGATATAATAGTGAGTATATGTGTTTTGATTCATTCCATTTTCATAACTATGAGATAATTTCATGGTTTGCAAATTTTGATGATATATTTCAAAAATTACACAGGCTTTTAAAAATTTCAATTTTCTTGATTTCATTTTGCAAAAAAAATATATAAGAGAGAGTAAACACTTGAATCTTCCTCGAAATTACCTCTGCATTTATTTATAATAAAGTAATTATATAATTGCTTTGTAAGAGCATCTGTGACATCTACATGTGCTGTCCATGCATCTGTTTGTCAACAATTTAATCAGCTACTCAATTCTTCTAAACCACTGGGGAAAAAATCCATAAAATTTGACTGGGCTTCGGATGGGGCCAAAATGGAGGTTATTTGGCTACATTGCTCAAGTGACTCCTCCACATGAAATATGTGATAGATATCATCATATCAACCATACTGAGTGGGAAGCATCCTCAGAAAGTTAGGATAGAAGTTTGTGCAAATGGTTGGGCTGACCATCTGGATGGGGGATTGCAAGGCTGAGAAGTGAACAAAAAATTATTTCTTCCCAGGAACTATATTTGCTAGAAGCATTTCTTTCACTTTTTATATGCCTTCCTGTAATGTTGGGCGAGTTATCGTTAAGCACTGTCTGTCTGTCTGCATTTCTAGTCTGGTTTATAATAGGTCTTTGTAACCCCTTGCTTGAAATTTTTTAAACTTGATAGGATTGTTGCCCATAACCAGAGGATGTGTCATGACCCTACTCCAAGGTCATATCCCCAAGATCAAGGTTATTGGGTATCATTATCAGAATCTTCACAATATTGTGTCCAACTCATGATTTTGTAATTCTTTCTTGGATTCGTATCAAAGTTTTTTGCACTGTTGCCAATATTTTACCAAGAGTCTGTCCTAACTTTTACACGAAGTCATATCCCCAATGTCAAGGTCGTGGAGGAACATCTTGAGATTTTACCCAGGCCTAATGTTTTTTTGATCTTTATCTTTACCCTACTTCATAGGATGATTGTCCATAATCTAAGAGTTTGTCATGATCTTAACCAAAGGTCATATCCCCAAGGTCAAGGATTATAACCATCTTTAGCATGTGTCCAGGCTTTAAACTCTCCTCATGAATGATATGAAGAAATTATATTCAGTGTCTTATCTTTGGTGTTCTTACTATACTCGCTTCCAAATTGTTCAGATTGTTTAAAAGTTTGTCTTATTAATAAGGACCAAGGTTTTATTCCCATGATATCATGATGCTGGCGTATTACAGTTGAGGGATCGCACAATGTTGCACGATGTGCAGTGTGCGCACGATGTGTGATCTGGACAATTATTGCTTGCGCACATTTGTGCGGATGATGTACGAACGTTGTGGGATAACAATTATGGTTGGTGTAAATTGATTTTTTTTAATGATATATATGGTTTTGAGTTCTAGAGTCTAGCTACATATATATAAGCTAATCTTTCTATATTTTTCTTGATTTTTAAAATGACTCAAATCGACACATGTAATTTTATAACACATGTACACAGTCCCATATACAGGTAAACATAGCCACTTTGTACATGTACGTATACCTGGACCGTAGTTTTCCCCACCTGGAGCACTTACCTAACTCGTCCAGGTGTGGAACTCCATGTGAAGGGGAGCTATAGACCAAAACGAATGCAAATAACAAATACTTAACGTCCAGTTGTGTTTTCATAATAGTCATATGGTATCATATACACTGCTCTCTTTGTCAGGCACAGGGCCCCAGGTAAAACTCCGGTCACTCATCAACATGTTATTTACCTGTTCTGTTACCTGAGAGCCAAATCCATACTTGACAGTCTAACAGACATTGTAATATTGTGTTACCACATTGTAAATTGGACATAATCTGAAATATTATGATGAGAAATTTATATATATATACAGTGTTCTTTATTCCATGCAGACCTTCTGGATTGTTTTCATTCGGTAATATTGATCACTTGTACCCAATCGCACATAAGTGCCGATAGAAGTGCAAAACAGGGTGAACTATAGCTAAATCGCACAGTTGTGCGCATCATGTGTGGACGATGTGGGGACAGTGTGTGCACGATGTATGCACGATGTGGGCACAGTATTTTTGATGGGTTGTTGGGTCCCACAACTGTATTTTATTGGTGCCTATAGCTATTGTATCTTGCATTGATATACTCGACAATACATATATCATGTACAATGTGAAACTATTACACATAAATATGTCAATAAATCATTTCTGAATTAGAAGGATGGTGGCAGAATTTATTTTTTATATTGGTATTATTGTACTGGGGTATGCTGTGGTGTTCATAACATGTCCAGGTGATCAGTGTTTACTCAATTCTCATTATTCAAGAACGTGACAAAATTTAAGTCATTAGACTTTACACACATACCAATATGTGTACCTTTACACACATACCAATATGTGTACCTTTGCCCAGAAACCAATATATATGTACCTTTACACACAAACCAATATGTGTACCTTTACCCACATACCAATATATATGTACCTTTACCCACATACCAATATGTGTACCTAAATTTACCCACATACCAATATGTGTACCTTTACCCATATGTAGCATTTCCCACATACCAATATGTGTACCTTTACCCACATACCAATATGTGTACCTTTATCCATATGTAGCATTCCCCACATACCAATATGTGTACCTTTACCCACATACCAATATGTGTACCTTTACCCATATGTAGCTTTATCCACATACCAATATGTGTACCTTTACCCACATACCAATATGTGTGTACCTTTACCCACAAACCAATATGTGTACCTTTACCCACAAACCAATGTGTACCTTTACCCACAAACCAATATATGTACCTTTACCCACAAACCACTATGTACCTTTACCCACATACCAATATATATGTAGCTTTACCTACATACCAATATATGTGTACCTTTACCCATATGTAGCTTTACCAACATACCAATATGTGTACCTAAATTTACCCACAAACCAATATGTGTACCTTTACCCACATACCAATATGTGCACCTTTACCCATATGTAGCTTTACCAACATACCAATATGTGTACCTAAATTTACCCACAAACCACTATATGTACCTTTACCCACATACCAATATATGTACCTTTACCCACAAACCAATATGTGTACCTTTACCCACATACCAATATGTGCAGCTTTACCCATATGTAGCTTTACCAACATACGTTGTACTATTTTGTGGAACGTTCAGTTGGAGATTTATTGTATATGATTAGCATTATGTTTACTATCAGTCATAATTAAGAGGGGAAAAAATGGATGCCTAATGCATGATACCAAATGTTAGGTTTTAAAAAGTTGTTTATAATAATTAATGATACTGAAATGTAATAACACAACAAATGTCATGATTCAAGATTACTGCTATAGAATTCTTTACATTATGAGGGAAATGGCTTGTCTAATATTGCCTTTCTGACTAACAATTCAAACATATATACATTTCTTAAGAAACAGTACAGTTGAAAGTCAAGGTCACTACTAGAGAATATTTGTATGGTGTTTGAAAATGCACATATCATGTATTTTCAATCTAGCTGCATCCTTGATCACAATCTCTATAAATCAATCTTAATGTATTTTACAACAGTTATGAAACAAGTTCTATCAACTAGCTATATATACAGTATATGATTATAATATCATTCTTGTGATGGTAGCATGCAAAGGGTTTAAATGCTGGAGGAAACTAGAAAACCTGGAGAAAACCCCACAAGGTTGTACCGGTGACCCATACATTTCCACAATAGGGTGTGGAATTAAACCTTGTCTTGGTGAAAGGTTTGTGGCTATATCCACTGATTACCCGACCACCCTAAATTTAGTAGACTATAAATCTGCCATCCACAATGATGTCAGTGGGTATAATAGATACTGTTTTTGGCACTCTTGTTCTCATCTAAATTACTGTTAGCTCACATGTCGAGAAACAATAAGGTCTAAAACATATACAGCCGAGTTATTAAGATGTATATGTAGGATGTGTTGGTATGGAAGACTTCAGGGGGTCACTTGCCCTTTACATGAGTCACAGGAAATGACCAACACTTATCTGACAATGAATTCCTGTACTTAAAAATGATGAATTAATATCCAGTTGTAGTGGCTGCTGAGGACATCTGTGCCATGGATTTTGTGTCGAATTTGATTGCTATTTGTGATTATTTTAAATTGTTAACAATGCTTTTAGCTTATGTGTTTCTTTCAATGAACAGTTTTTGTGGCTGTGACAGGTATGATCACGATGTGGTACGCTTATAACACCGTACAAACATGAATTACACCATTTTGATTGTCCCTTATCCTACAGTAAATGTAAAATGTAAATAAAAACCTTCCAGTAGAGTATGATTATCTATATATACATTATAATGTAGATTCTATTTTACCAAGGTATTGATCAAGGTTGTGTGCTCTTACAAAAGAGAAAAGGGTTTCCTGAATGATATTTTCAAGAAATTCATCTGAAGTCTGACATGAATATGACCAGTGATATTTTTGTCTAGTTTATTTTCCCAAAATGAAGTAGAAGAAAAAAGAGGAAGATCTTTCCATTTTCAAGAAAAATACTGCTGCATTTTGTTTACAGGAACAGACTGTAGTAAAATTAAGTAGAAGAAAACTGATGACAACTTGTATGTATTTCATACATGTATTTATGTAATCCTGTATCACGGACACGAACTGTTGCTGAGAGGCGGAGATCTGTGGTGATGGTATATAAATAGATACAATGTCAAGTTTATCAAATACAAGTCCATGATGGGTGTTATGCTTAGAAAGTATTCTCCACAACTGATCATACAACACATACCTTATAGTTCAGCATTCTATATGTATCTTAGCACTCAATCAATGTGCATGTACATTTTTTTTGAGATTTTAAAAATAGGACATGAACACAAGGGCAAATAAGATTGATCACATCCTGAGATGTCAGATGA